CGTCGTTGGTGTCGTCTCTTCGTCTTGTGGTGTTGTGGTCAACGTCGACGGGACAGCAGTGGAGGTGTCGCTGATGTTCTCGCGGAATACCTCCGAAGTTCTGGTCGAGGCTTCAACTTTGAAAGTTTTGAGCTCGGTTATAGAAGCCGCTAATGAAGTTTCGTCTTCTTTTTCATTCGAATTTCTCAATGTTGACGAGAGAAGACTGGTGGTTGTTGTGTTGTGTTCGCGGAAGGCCACCAACGTTGTTTTCAGGGCTTCAGCTTCCGATGAAATTAGGTCTATGTCACTGCTTACGTTCATGCTTTCTGCTTGTTCCACAATTACCATGACCTGTGGTGGGTTAACCATAACGCTTGTCGTACCAGGCTCAGGCGATTTGTCATTTTCGATATGCGAATTGGTTCGAGTATCCAAGTTGTTTCGTTTATCTTGATGTCCCTTCTCCAAGCGATAGGACGTTGCCTGAATATCATCATTTACTTAGTAAATCTAGCATTGAATCTACTCACTCAGAGGATGATGCACTTACCTGGGTTGGAATAGTAGGGATCACATGAACAAGTTGTAATAAGAATAGATAGCAGGGAATCAGCATCACTGCTAGACTGCCACGTACTTATCACTGGCTATATATGATTTCCCTTGTTTACAACATGTATTATTTGCGATTGCGCTAATTTCACCTGTTCATTAGCTGCTGTGCAAACAGTGTTTTTCAACAAAGCTGGTCACATAGGATATTTTTAAGCGTGTTAATATCAAGAACATCTTTAGTCTGGGTAGTCGTTCGAGTTTCTCGTAGATTAATTTGCCGCACCTCTCTCCCGATAGACCGGCGGGAGGAGCCTGGGCGTGAATGTTCCTGTGTTCCCGAAGGCACTGGAAAGGATCTTCATAGGATAACCTGAATAGGTTTCTTGAATTGATTGTCAGTACGTATTTGGCTGAGAGATCAACAGAGGGGGCTAATCCAAGCTGGACGTATTATTTCCAGGATATGCGCCTTATGGCCCATGCGTTTCAGAAAAAATAGTAGATGCAAATATAACAAATGTTAACAAATATATAAAAATTTCCTGCCACATGCTTCACTAATTTGGCAAGAATAACCAAAGCAATTAGGCGTGAGTCCTGCACAGTCACCCAAACATGCGATGCAAGGCATCACATGGATCAAAGGACTTACATTACTCCCATGCCAAGGATTCGCATAAGTTTTACGTTCTGTTTCCTCTTTCCATTCTTCTAACAAACTTCTGAATCCTCTTATTTGAATATAGTATGCTTCCATTTAGCTTTTCCTAAAGAGCCCATAACATTACTATACTTCTCATTGTTTAAAAAATTCTTTTCAAGAATCCCTTGAAGAAAATGGCATTCACTGGCTAACCGCCGTCATCCTAAGGTTTACAACAGCGCTCAAATCAACCTTTTGGAAAGCACTGCAGTGTTTCTATAACATATTATTGTACTTTTAAATGATCCCTGCTTCTATTGGAATCTGACTGTGTAAGAATTTCAGTCGAACATCCAGCAAATTTCAGAGGAAATTCTTCCTTTGCGAAACTCAGATTCCTCGAGCCCAACTGCAACTCAGATCGTAGACAATGGCTACAGGTTGTCGCCTTGGGTTACGATTAGTTGTTTTAATCCTCGATATGTAAGCTTCAAGTTAAAATGTGGTGTGAATGGTGCAGCCTTGCCAAGGTCGAATAGCACAGTGATAACACGACCACATTTGGGCGTGCACGTCGGCCCAACAGCCCTATGTAAGTCCTGTCTAGGTCGTTACTTTTAACCGAAGGGTCCCTTGTGCTATCCTTGAGCTTTGGGGAAATCAGGTTAACTCTAGAGGGTCATAAGCCATATCTATCGTGAACTGTGCCCATATGTTGGAGGTTATTTGCATTAGCTATATTGCAAGGAATTCCAGTCGAATAATTTTACCTCAAACTATCGATGGGAATTTTGGGTTATGGTTTCCATCAACAACTACCGCTCCCGAGCTAGAACAGCAATATTATTTTTTCCTTCCAACTGAGAAATTGCGATCTTGAGTGATGCCTTTGCCATCACGATCGTCCCGAGCAGATAATCATATGTATGTATCACATGAAATTTTTTAAATATTACTCAGCTTCGAAAGAACGCTGACGCGAACTGTTCCATCAGCAAAAATCGAAAGTTTGCTCGAACTCCAAATGATTACATCTTTTCCTTCATCTAAGATTTCTCAATGCCGATATTCTGACGTGATATTTTGTTAGCCGCTTTTATACTGCCAAGAAATGTTCTTCGAAAATTGAGCTACTCGACATTAGATATAATATTTGCGAAGCTTGACACTTCAGACATCCTGACATCTGCGTTTCTTGTGGCTATGTTCATCCGTCAGATTAGCAATATATCCTTACCAGTTAGAGTTATACAAGAAGTAACTGCGTACAAAGAACCTTCGTCGACTCATGATGATGGTAGACATCTTTGGAAACTATACAAGCTTTTTCTATAGATCTCTTTTTCATCTCTTTCACCGATCTCTTTTTTTTTGTAGAGCAACAGAATCACAGTTTTTATAGAAGTTCTTAGAGAGTTTGGAATACTCATACGGAAGGAGCCGTCCAGCCTCTGCCTTATCAGGGCCTAATAATCTGCATCGCCCCTATGCGCAATCGTAATCATGATTGAAACAGTTTCCCGTTGTAAAAGGGAATGTCAGTGAACGACCACACTTTGGTCTTTATTTCCTTTAGGGAAACTTGTGTATAGAAGATCATTGAGGTTCTTTTTGTCTGCTCAAAGCCATCATTGACAAAAACATCATCCAAAGTAGAAATTGCGATGGATGATCAAAATTCAATGGTGTGTTCGGACCTCTGCTTAATACTGATCTAAAGTCCTTCTGTGCCCATTGAAGGGAGCGTTTCTTGGTAAGATCAAACCGTTTTAATAACCTAAACTTATCTCCGTTGAATTTTTCAGAGCGACCTTCGATTTTGTAACGCAACAATCATCACTCCAGATATTTTTAAACGAAGTAGAACAGCTGTGGCACAATTTGTAGTAGGTGGATTAGTATATTTATTTGTTATAACAAATATCATCAAGTTGCATTTGGTTATCCGCTCGTGCGGCTTCTGGAGAAACTGCAAATTCCACAAGTACGAGGGCACTGCTCTCTCATTAGCTTTTGGTAGACAATGTTTTGACAGAGCGGACGACGATTCGGACAATCTGAGCGTCCTGTTCGAGGGTTGATCATATCCCTGCATTCCTCTGCCTAAATTTTAGACACCTAAGCCTTTATATGAATTGTGAATAATATTCGATAGAATAAGGTGATAAATAAAGGAAAGGCGTTGGTGTGTTGAAAACTAACAACAGGCTCTGATTTTGGGATCCTTCTGGAATCACAGAAACCGCATGTGCGAGGACATTGCACCCGCATGAGCTGTACGTAACTGGAAAAGAATAAAATTAGCCATCAAATCAAGACGAGACAAAAAAGGAAGCATAGATTGTAGGAGTTTAAATCGTCTACAGCCAAGCCTACCTTGCCTGACTACACAGATTCCTTCTGAAAGGACAGTCTGATCGACCCGTAATATGGTTGATTTTGTCAAAGCAAGGTGGGGACGTAACAACTGGATTAATTTTAGTCGAAGCCTGCAAACAGTTTGCTAGAAAGCTCTTTTACAAGTAAACATCTGGGTAGTCATTCGATAGTAACCCACTTTCGTTATAATTGGTTGCCGGGATGTCGGGCTTGTTTTGGTGGGTCGTGCCGTAGTGACCATAACTTGGGATGTTTTCTTGTCGTCTTTCTCGCTTATTTCAGTGCCTTTTGGTTTTTTGGAAGAGCCCACTGTTACCGCACGAGTGGTCTCTCGGCCATCCTCTTCTTTCTCTCTGTCGTCCTGATCCTGTTCTTCTCCACCTTCATCCTCTTCGTAGTCTTCTTCATCCTCGTACTCCTCGTACTCATCTTCATCTGTTAGTTCTCCATTCGTTGCATCTGATCCGCCTATTCGTTCAGTCCGTACTGCTTGATTAAGCGAAATCTCCTTCGGTACCACTTTCTTCAAATAAGAACTGTTGGTCTGAAAATTTTGTTGTCAGCAGACTGTAGTTTGTGTAAAAGATACGAGCGTACCTGTTTGCAAGCGATGCTCATGAGAAATAATGTAATGATATGAAAACGCATTTCTGGAAGCTCTCTTAATCTGGGGCTCATATGGGTGGTTTTATATTTATGGGGCAGACAATGATATTTTTGTTTAGGGAGGAACTAGAATATGCTGTGCAAATATTGTAATGTGCGGAACTGGCACAATGTCCGGTCATGTCTGATCACTTCCTACTCTCAAAGTTTAAATTAGCTTGGGCCAAATGATGCATGATTCTCCTTGTATTCGCCTCATTATAGGATCTGGAAGCGAAAATAGAGAAACTTCGAGAAGGACGGGTCGGGCTGCTGTAGAACTAGGGCGACCCCTCTCCTATTAAAACTAAGGGAAACGATTCCTTTTTTTCAACAGAAATCATTTTAATAAGGGTCCCGTCGAGTGGATAAGCGAGCTAATGACCCAAAAAAGAAGAAACATACACTCATTAGGGTTTAGAGACTTGCATACTTTTGGTAGCCGCAACTGGAAACCAATTCATTGGTTGTGGTATACAATAAAAACCGGAAAGAACCTTTCGATTGAGATCAGCAGAACCAGTCTTTTTGAATCATCTTCAGGAATACTACGTGGCTCTCCGAATGTTCGAGATCCCTTCTCCGAAATACACATTTCTAGGGCATTTGATTCAATCTTCTGTGGTTAGATTCACTTCACGGCCATTGACTATCTACTCGAGCCAGTGGTTGCTATTGGACGTTGAAGCTCCTCAAATGCGCAGGACCATGGACGGCTGTCAGCGAAAAAGTGAAAGTGAAAGGAACAGTAATGGGCAATGAACCACCGGAACTTAGCAGTAATCCAGAATGCACTTATGCGCCAATCCCCAAAAGATGGCGCATAGTAGAAGAAATATGGGAGGCGGGCAGTAGAATCGGTTCTGTGTAATCAATTCTCCGTGCGAGGAAGTCGCGTACCATTCGCCTTGCTCTTGCGGTTCTAGTGTTCATCATACAGCTCAATTGACAAGCGATTATTATTTTTGGCATGATACTTATGTTAGTTCTTTTGCTCCTCTATTTCTTACTTGCTGCTGCATTCTGCTACATTCTTTCGCGCGAAGCGTCCCTCTCCCACCGCGCGACAATATCGATCCTACTACACCACTCCCAAGAACTACATTACTTAATACTTAAGCTATACAATCACGACCATTTTCTTGCCAATTGACAGTGCAGACGTGATAATCGACCACTTCATTTGTGAGTTCTATTGCAGACTTTAACCTTGAAGAACATTCATTCTTACAAGGGAAGGATCCCAAGTCTGAAATGGGACCTATACTGCTAGGCGTATTTTTTGACGCTGATTTCAAATCTGCATTCAAAATCTGCCAAACGATTCTCTGAACGAAGTTATGGAGGTGGTCTCCGGAGAGCGCTCAACAGGGGAAAGCACAAAAGCCTTGGTCGCCGGCAGCCCAGCAGTGGCGGCTTGGAGTGGTGGTAAGCGTGACGCTTCACAGGCAGGGGACCAAGGA